GATGCCAGGAGCCCCTAGTAGCTTCTTCTTACTAGTTGCTAGTAGCAGGAATGCTCCTAGTAGCGATGCCAGGAGCCCCTAGTAGCTTCTTCTTACTAGTTACTAGTAGCAGGAATGCGCCTAGTAGCGATGCCCGGAGCCCCTAGTAGCTTCTTCTTACTAGTTCCTAGTAGCAAGAATGCTCCTAGTAGTGATGCCAGGAGCCCCTAGTAGCTTCTTCTTACTAGTTGCTAGTAGCAGGAATGCTCCTAGTAGCGATGCTAGGAGCCCCTAGTAGCTTCTTCTTACTAGTTACTAGTAGTAGGAATGCGCCTAGTAGCGATGCCCCTAGTAGCTTCTTCTTACTAGTTACTAGTAGCAAGAATGCTCCTAGTAGCAATGCCAGGAGCCGCTAGTAGCTTCTTGTTGGTAAGGTCATGTAAGGGTCCTCCCTCCAATGGCGTTGGTAAGATCAGAGAGAGCCTCGAGAGACGAAAACGCGCTGGTCATGGATTTCACTGATTCGCTTCACTGCTCCCCCCCACAGCAAATCCGACGGTTCCGGGCGTAGCCATTCCTTGTAGAATGATACATGGGGCGAACCATGTCGAGCCATTCACCTCCACCGAAACATATTACATCCCTGAGGCTCCATGTATGACACAGTTGCCTACTTGGCCATGTTTGCTCATTTGACTGACGGAGGCCATGTAGTTGATTTTGGACTACGGTCAAATCCCCCCAGTCTCGGAGGTCTCGAAACGGCATGACCCAGCATGACGGGAATCATTAGCATGTAAACAAACATCGCATGCACGAGGTCACGTGTAGTCATAGTCAACGAATGCATATGCTCATAGAAAGTCTCGCGTGACCCAGCGTGACCCAGCGTGCGACCTCTCAGAGAGAAAAGTGGGCCTCGAAGCTCACCAACTGCTGATGGTGATTTTTACATACGGTTATGACGGTTATGTCAATAAATCTTGCGGACATTGGTGCCTCTGGGTTATACTAGATCATGATTTTGATAAACCGGAGCTGCCTATGGATACGAGACCGGAGATGTGGTTTTCCGCCAACCAGGCCGAAAGAAAACAACGGCAGAGTCAAATGGAGCTCCCAAAAAACCCGGCTTAGTCAGTTGGTACTCGTACATGACGGAAGAGACATGAATTGATCATTGAAGTGTCCATTGCCGGGCAGTTCGTCGCCCCTGTGGATGGTTTTCGGAAACTTGTCGCTCCGGAGCTATTTTGGCTGCAACTGGAACAGCAATCGTGGTGTACACAGTTCCACCCATTATATAACTTGTCACCATGCATTGCCCTTACCATCATCAATCAGCAGTGCTTGGCTATAGAAGCTGTGCCAGCATAGCACTCACCATGACATTGAGCAGCGTGCAATTTGAACATTTGCATGCCAGCCCCAGATATCAATCTCCCGCCTGCGATCCTCTTTCCCGTTTGCAATGTCATCACGTGTGGATTTTGGCAGTCGGTTTCTTCGCGTAGGGCCCTTCATCCTATTGTTCTTTTTTGCGAGTTTCGCACGCTTGCAGCCCAGTCAGCTGCGACACGATCAAGCACCACATTTTTGCCAAAGAAGGCCGCCCAGCGGTGCATCTGCTGGATCAGGCAGTTTTGCCAGTGACCTGAGTAATAAGACGAGTGATCTGAGTATTGGTCTCCACTACATGTTCGTCCTGCCTCAGAGCTCGTGGTGGAGATACATACATGGTAAACTCATGGGTTGGCAGAGGAATGACCGTCCCTCGACTGATTTGGATGGCTTCGTTGACACAGCGTTGAAACTGGGCATTTGTTTTTCAGAAATCCTGCTGACATTTGACAGCAGAGAGAAGACGCCGGGTTCTGCTTGGCGTTTACTTGAGTCTTCAACCGACGCTGCCGCGTACATGTGCATCGCGCAGCAAAGAGTGCAACATGTTGTCAAGGAGCTCCGAAGGCGTTGTCCTCAGACCACAACTGACGTGAAGATTAGCGTGCTGGATCTATCCGACAGTCAGATACGGAAGACGTTTGATCATATCTTCACAAATAGAAGCAGGCCCAAGGAGCTATTCAAGAATTCTTTTGCATATACGTTCGCGGCAGTAAGCATGCGTTCGAGATACATCATGCACATGGATGACGACGTCATGCTGGGCAAGGGCAGTGTTAATTCATCAAATAGCGGCTTCATGGAAGCCGCATCAGCTGACCAGACCGAATCTTTGATGTTCGCAACTTTTGTGGGCAAGGCTATCACTGTGATGGAGGCGGACGCCGATGTGTTGACCGTCCACATGAGTTCGTGTGAGAAGTGCATGAATTGGACTGAAAAACCCGCGCCACACACCCTACGCACTGCCTTTCGAATTGGTTATGGGAAGTGGCAACATTTCGGTTGGGAGGATATGATGTCCACTCAAGCTTTCTTGATGCACTCTGAACGCTTCAGATCTATCTACCCCTTGGAGATCAATGGCGTCGGAGAGCCGTGGAAGTTTGATATTGAGTCTCTAATCATGAGAGCCCGAAGGAAGAGGAGACCAACAGGTATATTCGTGTGGTTGACGCCTGAGTCAAGTGGTGCTCAATGCAAAGTGCCTGTGAATACGATAGGTTTGCCTGGTTGTCCTGAGGAGCAGTGGCACGGTGCACTTGACGACAGCACCATTCGCCAGTGCGTGCAAAGCATCATGACTGATCCATACTATTATGCATTATGTGCAGTTTGATGCCAGCAGTGTAGATCCTTTTACGCAACGAAGCCTGCTGGTTCTTGTTTTTGACAGGTGCATGAAGGATTGAACACAACAAAAGACCTCCCTGTCTGCCCCAGACCTGGCTTCACCAGGCCGTGTGTGACGGCTTTGAAAAAGTCGGGAGAGCCAACGCTGCCCGGGGAAGGGTTCCAGCATGTTTGGTCCCGTGTTCTTTTTTTTAAGGTGTTCCCTTCAAGGGTCGCCCTTGTTTAGACCGGGTCGTGCACAAAGACAATCTAGATATATACATAAAATTCACAACTAAATCAATCAACCAACCAACCAACCAACCAACCAACCAACCCATCAATCAACCTATCAATCAACCAATCAACCAACAAAACCAACCAATCAACCAATCAACCCATCAATCAACCCATCAATCAACCAAGCAACCAACCCATCAATCAACCCATCAATCAACCCATCAATCAACCCATCAATCAACCAATCAACCAACCACCCAACCAATCAACCAATCAACCAAGCAACCAAGCAACCAGGCAACCAAGCAACCAACCAAGCAACCAAGCAACCAACCAAGCAACCA